CGCAATCCACTGACCGTGACCCAACGCAGTTCTCTGCTCCCGGTGGTACAACTTGCGTGTGAATTTTAATCCTGAAAGGATTAATGTGTGGGGGAGGGAGGGAGCTGGTAGTTTGGATTGTATTGCTAATATATTTAATACAATTAATATATAAATGACACAGTAAACACACCATCCCAGAGTTTTACTGAGAGAACATCTAAACTGAATGAGAAATAGGAAAGCAACAGAAGAAGGAATTGTGTGTGCTCAATCCTTTGGGAAACCCTGCAATAGAAGAGATGCTGAGCCTGAACCACTACATTTCCATTTTGCCTCCTGTGCCATTCAGGTTTTTTTTCTCCTCATTTCTCTGGTTTTGAGGACTCCAGTTTACCCTCAAATAACAGTGGGGATTTTTGAGGAATTGTTGACTGTGCACATGTAAATGAATTTTCAGACCTGGAGATATAAATTGAGCAGGTATGRTATGCTATGGATATCCCAATAAGCTCCTCTCCTATTCAAAGTCTTATRCTCTTATGAAGAACCCCACTCTCAWYTCCAGAGCCCTCTCCAAAAAGGCATTACAAGCATTTCTGTTTCTTCACTGCTCATGAAGCTCTGGAATGGGTCTGGGATCCAGACTCAGAGGGCTTAATTTCACTTAAGTCTTTATTTTTTCCTGTTGTATGGACATCTCCAGAGTCCTAGAAGCAACCAAAGAATAAGAGGAGACACATGAATTTAGATGGAAGCTATATCCTCTGAATCTGGGCCCTGCCAGTGTTCATTACTTAATTGAAGTATTGTTTTAATACTGAACTGACATCTCTGGATGCAAACAAGACACACCTCAAAAGACCACTACGTGTCAAGGCGAAGGTTTTTTTTAAGTGGCCCACTACAAAGCAAATCAGCATTACAGTCTTAATCCTGAACTTTCTTGACTCATGTAATTTTCATAAAGCATGCAATTACAAGGATTGGATGTGATCTGCCAGATAATATACAGATACCTGCCACAGCAACCAGATGGATGCCAGCTGTCTCTGYCAGCACTGCTTTCTAAAGGATAATCCCTACCCTTGAGTGGAACTCATTAACATGCTTTCACTTTACYAGACCAAAAAGCTGTCTCTCAGCACGTTCTTAACACAGAAGAGATAGTTCCATTGAGAGAAGGTCCTCCAGTTTCACCTGCAAGTATCTTCCAAATTATTTAAAAGTCATGTCATCTTTTCTGGACAGTGCTGAACACTTCAGCTTGGTCCAGTGAATACAAGCACCTACACTTGGCTTGACGTGGAATGAAATGACATCAGCTCTATGAAAGTCATGTCTCATTACAGAAGATGTCAATTTTTGAGGAGAGCTAAATATTTGACTGAGTTCTATTAAGCCAGTGGGCTTTTTTATCCTGAGTGTCTCTATGCCAGATAACAAATAAGTTGTTCTCTTTTGAAAGTTCATGGCAAAATTAATCCTAAAATGCACTGAATTTTACAGTAACTTTTTACTGCTAGCACATTGCAATCTTTTAAGATTATTTTCTGACCACACTGACTTCAGGAAGGTAAGCCTACTGAAATCAATGGCTTTTTGTTGCTATTGTGGCAATCAGATTTGGTACAACATATCCTCCAATACAGTTTTGCAAATTAGAACCTAATCCTGTTTCCTTTGAAGCTGGCTAGCAGAAGACTGATGATTTCAATGGGAGGATAATTCCTCTTTTGTGAATAAGGAAAAGCAGTTATGTAAAATAATACTGTCAGAAATGAAGAATTCCCTAGTGGGGTCTATGAACCCAAGGAGCTGAAATTCTCACCAAATGTTTATCTCAGAAACAATGAAACACTACATGTTTTACATGGACTTGCTAAAACTTGCAAGGAAATATCTGTCTGTTGGTGATACATTCAAACATATGTATATGTCTATATTTAACATTATTTTCAATTATCATTGCCACTACATATGAGCACAGAAATTTTCCTTTGTCTAGTTTTAGTTTACACATTTGATTTGCTCAATGCCCRCTGGCTTTACATTTAAGAACACGGAAATTTAAAAGGAAAAGTGGTATTTCTAATACTACATAGTTCCTGTGCTTATTCCATTATCAAAATGGCAGTTTTAATTTCGGAGTTTCTGTTATCTTATTATGCCTTCTATCTCTCCAACCACAATATATAGCAATGATTCATGACGTATTTCTTTGAAACTGATGATTTCCATGAAAATTATGAAGCAGCTAGAAGGAAACACTCTCGGGGATATTAACAAYGCTCATGAGTACAACATAATGAAACCTATTTTCATCACGGGCATTCATGCTTTTCTGCTATTCAAGAGGCAATTTYTCACTTCTCCTGGCAGTCAAAGGCACCCTTCACGTTCCCTGTGTCACCATCCCCTCTCCTAGGTCCCCCCTGCCTCCTGGTGCTGCTGCATTCCCATCCCTGTGCCAGTCATTACCTGGCAGCAGGTCTGTCCTGCATTCCTTCACATGGATGTTTCTTGGGGCATCCCCCCAAGTGTGAGAAGAGCTCCATAAATGAGTTTCAAACTGGGGGCAATAGCAGATGTCTCTCTGTCCCCCTCCTGCATGTTTAGGTAGCCCAGGCATTGCTTTTTTTCTGGGAGGAATGCAGTAGCGCTTCAGAGTTTTTGCTGTTTTAAAATGAAACAACAGAAACATCCAAGCTGTAAATGTCATCTTAATTCTTAGCAAGAGAAGGCCACGGAATTTTTGTCCTTTCCACACTTAAAATAAAGGAAGGGGCTACAGGAGAAAAAGGTGCACTGTTTTTGGTCTGTTTTTTTTTTAGTGTAGCAACAGGGTGAAGCTTTCCTTACCTTTCTCCTTTGGAATAGGTACTTCGTGGTGCACTCTTTGAAAGAGATGTCAAATTTCATGCTCCCAGCTTACAGTACCAGGCTTCCAAAGATAAAGAAGCCAGCACAGGAGATGTTTCTTCTGACTGCTGCAGGAAGTCTTTCCTGTCTCCTTCACCCCTCGCGGCACGATGCTGGCTCCTGTCAGGARCAGGGTACTGCACTAGGCAGACTTGGTTGAACCAGCTGGACATTTCTGCTGATCCTAAAATGAAGCAGCGATGGCAATTACAGAGGAACTTCTGYTTTCAAGCTCAAGTCAGAGAAGGTAAGGCTGCAACCTTAAAGCAGTGTTCACGATCTCGGGAAGAAACCTTGCAGAAGCCCAGCTTTACACACAGGCCCAAAGAGTTCGAGGAACCAGCCGAGGTTCTTCACCAAAACTGGTGACYGGGTATCACCCCACCAGCTCGACATTCCAGAGTTAGTTACCTTTGACAGACCTGAGTCTTTGCAGGAGCCACCCAGTGAAACTGTCTGAGCAGATGGATCAGCTGCTGTGCCAACATTTCCTCAGCAACCCGGAGAGGCTGGGGCTATCGACCCCTGAAATTCTGCGCCTTGACATTGCTGTGATCACAAAGTGGAACCCAAGRGTTCAAAAGGTCTGTCTGTGCATTATCCTTGCAGAGCAGACAATCCCAGCTGCAACCTGCACCTTAAGAACAGTCAGTAGGGAAGAGACATTGAACCAGGGCTCTCACTTTAAAGTGTTTAAAAGCCTTTGTTGGTCCAGAAAACTGGCTGTACAGGAGCATGCCAAAACAATTCCACCCCATGCAATTTTTGCTACAAGAGACCATCTGCCTTCTCTAGCCATGCACTTGGGGATGGCTTCTTTTCTAAAGGCAACATCTGATTCGTCTTAACCTTGGCAACAATTTGTATATCTGTACTGGTTTAAGTTTTGAAGCTGTCTTTGTAAAAGAAATAAYCCTTCCTTTAAAGTGAAGAAAGCACAAAACCGACGCAGTCTTTGTATTTCAAAGATCCCCAAAGCAGACGCGAGGTGTTCCTCAGCTCTTGGCGCAGATTAGCAAGTCAACCACAGCAGGACTGGGCTGGAAAGGTTTCTCAGCAGCAAAAACCTCCCGGAGCAGGCAAACAGCGCCTGCCCATGCCAAGCACAGGCGGCACCTGGGTGTGCCCGAGTTTTTCCGCCAGTTCCACCAACATGGAAACCCTACAGGAAACCCTCGCCCGCTTGGCGAATGGGGAAAATTAGACGTTTTCTGGAAAAAACAACTTTCCAGACCTAAATTTTGTGCAGGCTTGCCCCATCCCCTGCCCGTTCGCCCTCCCTACAGGTGCACACGGCAGAGCCG